TTGGAGGCTTTATCTGTGAGAAGCATTTGGCGGTCTATGCTTAGCAGCTGGCTTTGAACGTGGTGTGTGGGTCTGTACACTGCTTTCAGAGCCTCATAGAATCCTCTGTGGTCACCTGAATCAGCACATAGTTGAGTCTTTTCTTCTAGGTTGATCCACCACTTGTTCTGGATGTCTCAAAGTTTCTGTTGGAGCTTACTGCATGCAAGACAAAAGGCTGCTTTTCTTACATCCACGGGTAGTATGGGCTCACTAGCCTCCTGGCAACCATCCTAGGAGAAGGACAACTCTAACTTCAAACCTGGGCAAATGGAGCTTGTTTAGCCCTGTAAGGCCATCCATCTAAGAGAAGGATACTCTAACTAAATCTTTGCAATCTATGTTTTTTAAATGCTACAGTGGATTTAAGTGCAAGGATAATGCAAGTAGTTAAAAGAAAAGTGAAAAATTTAATCTACTAATTCAAAATGAAAAAGAACCCACATCAACAAAGGGGCCAAAACTCAAACACCGGTTTACAGCATTGCAACAAATGAGCCACAGCAGCAGTGCTTTCAAATTTCCTTTCTGTTCACCAACTAGAATGTTTTCAGCCAGCAGTCTCTGTCATGGTAGGACATATGCCACAATACAGCACAGGTAAATTATATAGAAGTAGAAAGAGTTCCTGTATGAGTACAATCACTTTAGGTTTTATACTCCGTGTTAACCGTAACTGATGACTTGCCTTTCTGATCAGTAGGCGAGGATTAGTTGCATAACTCTTTCAAAACATACTGAAAACTATTGCAATCCATAAATAGAATCCACTCATGCTAACATGATCAGATTTTTTATTTATTATTTGAAGGGACTGTGATGAGTTTTCAGGAGGTTATTGCACCCCTTTGAAGATTTTATTCTCTTTATAAAACTCTTTATAAAACCGTTTATCTTCTTAGAGTTATATGGATTTATTAATGATCCTAAAGTCAGCAAACCTGATTCTGCATCATTTTCTCTCGGATGTAGCTACACGATCCCGTACAGTCTGAGTGTAACTGCCAAATGACATGAGTAATAGGCAGAAAAGGCTCCCTTTGGATTGATATGAGAGTACCCAAACTGGAAAACGTGGGAAATTAGGATATTATTTCTAAGAGGCATTTAATGACTAACCTTTGCAAACACATTGTAGAAGGGGTTTTCTCCTAGAGTTTCTTCGACTTCCTTTAATCTCAAGATAGATCAGCTGGTCTAATCAACAAATCTCCACTAACTTCACCAGGGTAAAGGCATTTTGCACCAGTTGAGAAGTATTTCCTTTTCTTTTGTTACTTAGTGTCCTTCTTTTCTGTTTCCTAAGGTGTACTACTGTCGATCATTAGCCATTGCTTTTATTGAACAAACAGCCTTACAAAGATACCATGACTACACTCATGATCCCAGCATACCAGCTACGCTGCAGCCAGTACTTAAGAATCTCAGCGCTCTGTATGGACTCTGGTCTTTAAGTAAACATCTGGCTGTGCTCTACCAAGGTGAGAGGAGCTCCCTGGGTTTACTCTGCCTGTCACTTTATAATAGTCCTAACCTGGCAAGGGGGAGGGAATCCCATTTAGGATTTAGATTAGAGCATTTTCTTATTGCCTGTGTAATGTAAAACAATCTTTCTGGATAAAATTTTCATGAGTAGGAATCTGGAGTGACAAATTAACACAAAAGACACTCTCTTAACTCAGAGGTGATGGAGGGCTCACAAGTTTTGCTGTGGTCCAAATGATTAACAGTTTTGCAGTCAGTTCATTAACAAAGACCAGTCAATCCATTGAACACTGAACTGATGAACTCATAGAATCATAGAACGATTTGGCTTGGAAGAGACCTTAAAGATCATCTAGTTCCAGCCCACCCTGCCATGGACTCCTTTGCATAAGGATTTTATCAGTGTAACCTTAACTGGAATAAGTTTCTTTGTGGATGTATTTGCAGGTGGTTATGCTTCAGGTGAACAAGCTGGTAGATTTATCCAGAATGCTATTCTGGAGCTCTGCTACAGGGTAAGCCTTTGATTTTGTTTGCTGAGATTAAATAATAATGTAGTATACAAATGCTAAAAAAGAGTTGTATCAATTATTCTGTAGATTAGCAGAATATTACATTAATAGTTTCTGAATAATTTTCTGTCAAGTTTAATATCTCATTGGCCCTGAATCTAGTCCTAGTTTATTTACCAAGAAATGAACACCAGTGTATCTTACAAAATAACACTCATCATTTGTGGCCTTGTAATCTTCATTGGAAAGACAGTGATGTACTTCAGTCCAGTTCTATTTATTTCATTATTGATTTAGTTCATGATTTTTTTTTTCTGATTACAAAAGCTTTTTTTTTGCAGGTAAGCAAATGTATTTTGAAACCCAGAGGCAAAAGATTAAAACATTTAAGATAAAACCTCGCTTGGCAATTACCCTGGGACGAACAAAAAGCAAAATAAATATAGGCTCCTTATTGTGGACGTGTCTTAAGTTACTAATAGCTGGTACTTTATGAAAATAATCTTTATGCTGCTCAGTAGTTCACAGGTAGCTGTAGAAAACTGCAGAAGGTGCCAAATGTATGTCTTTTGTTTTAAAACAGTTGAAAGACGATGCAGTTGCCCTGGTTGATGCCGTTGCTCCTCCTGACTTCATTCTCAACTCTCCCATTGGTAAAGCTAGTGGAGAGGTAAGAAAATCCGCTTTAAAATTTGTAAGTTTAATCACTAGGAAGGATGTTGTCTGTAAAGAGCTGTATCATATTCAGGACACTTCACAGCCACAAAAGAGAAGGAAGATGCTTTTTCAATGGACAGTACCAGAGTTATATTGATGTCAGCAAAAAGTAATATTTTGCAATTGCTAGAGATAGGGTTCAAGGGGAAAGTCATAGAATATTGCTCTAGTGGGCATCTACGCTGCCGAGCAAAAAAAAATAATAAAATTATATCATTGCCTAAGATTCCTTAAGGAGTAACATATCTTTAGTGTGTAGCTTAATACCTTGGAGATATAGTAAGGTGTATTTCTTCTCTGCCTAGGGCTTTTGCTGCCTTTATTGGTATTCACCTCACACCCACTTTGTGTGATTTGCATATAAATGTGGTAGTAATTCTTTCTTTTAAGTCTTCATAATTATTTTGGTAAGAGAATAGAAAATTTAAAACTCGTTCCAGTTAAAGTTCATATCAGAAATTGCACAGTTCTTTGAGAATTCCATTTGTCCAGTGGGAATTCTGGGATATGACAGAGTATCTTGTACTAACCCATGCGAGGTACAGCAGTACCCAAAGGATCTCAGTAATCTTAATACAGACGTGAAGGATGCTGCTATGTTAGCACCTTTCCTTGCTTGTTAAGGCCGAGAGGGGGTTTTTTTGTGTGGTCTATATTACAAAAAGCAGGAGTTAGATCAGGAGCATAAGAATGGCCATACTGGATCCAGTTCACAGAATACTCTGTAGCTGACGGTGGCCAAGGAGAACATGGTGTGAAACATGAAATATCGAGGTGTTCTTTCCCTGGTGTCTCAACAGTTGGCAGCTTGTGGTTTAAGAGAGATTTCATGCCATAGGGTGTATTTGTAGGATTCTGTCCAACAGCCACAGATATATCTATCCACCATTCATTTTTCTCATCCATTTTTAAATTCAGCTGTCTTTTGGCTTCCATGACACCATATTTTCCATAGTTTAATTATGAGTATTGTGAAAAAGTGCTTCCTAGTCCAGTCCATATACATTTACTATCTGTGAGGGCTTTTTCATTCCTGTGACAGGTCTTGTTTTCCTTCTCTGTCTCTTTCCTGGTTCTGCCATATCCTTTCTGAGGTGTCGGAAAGACTGTAAAAAGACCTACAAGCAGACTTCAGGGTGTGGGTGCCCCATGGATTTGGCTATGTTGGGTCATAGAATCATAGAATCAGTCTAGAATCATAGAACGTGTTGGGCTCTAAGAGACCTCTAAAGGTCATCTAGTCCAACTCCCCTGCAGTGAACAGGGATATCTTTAACTAGATCAGTTGGCTCATCCAACTTGAGTTCCATCAAGCCTGACCTTGAATGCCTCCAGGGATGGAGCCTCCACCACCTCTCTGGACAACCTGTTCCAGTATTTCGCCACCCTCAGAGTGAAGAACTTCTTCCTAACATCTGATTTAATCTGCTCTGCTCTAACTTAAAACCATTGCCCCTTGTCCTGTTGCTACATACACTTGTCAGCAGTCCCTCCCCAGCTGTCTTGTAGATCCCCTTTAGGTACTGGGAGGCTGCTATAAGGTCTCCCTGGAGCCTTCTCTTCTCCAGTCTGAACAACCCCAACTCTCTCAGCCTGTCCTCATAGCAGAGGGACTCCAGCCCTTTGATCATTTTTGTCACCCTCCTCTGGACCCATTCCAGCAGGTTCACAGCCTTCTTGTGCTGAGGGCCCCACAGCTGGACGCAGCACTGCAGGTGAGGTCTCACCAGAGCAGAGCAGAGGGGCAGGATCACCCCTCTCGATCTCCTGGCCGCACTTCTTTTGATGCAGCCCAGGATGCGATTGGCCTTCTGGGCTGCGAGTGTGCATTGTTGGCTCATGTCCAGCTTTTTGTCCACCAGTACCCCCAAGTCCTTTTCCACTGGTCCCTCTCTGCTTTTTTCCTTGATGTATTTAAAGAACTGTATTTCATTCTGAAGTCTCAGAAAACCAAAGTTCTTGCTTACTGGCTAACCCATAGCCAAACTGCCGGATAGCTGTTATGTAGAGACTAGTATCACCGTACAGTAATTGGGTTTAGAGTAGATGGACCCTGTAGAGAATCACCAGAGCCTGAGGAGGCTGCCAGGAAGTTGGACAGGATTGCTGAGTCAAGATTACTCAATGCTTTTCGATACTCTCTGTCTGCGTCTTCATGTCCAAAGTTGTCCATTGTTCCCATGGTGATCAAGCAACACAGAAGGCAGCCCAGATGTTTCTAACTGGACACTAACCTAACAAAAGGATTACTTTGGTAACACAGTCGCTACAAATAAAGGAGTAAAGGCTGGCTCTACATGTCCAGCCATCTCAACGGGAGGACTGCAATCATTGCTGGAAACTTTGTTTCTGTTTCCATAGGTTTTTGAGGATTAAATTAGTGAAAGATCATGGGAGAAAAGCTCCAAAGGTAACTCTAAGAGAAGGAACATCATATGTAAGAATGTTGAGAAATCTGTGTTGGCCAAAAGCCCATTTTCACCCACTATTCTCTCTCTAACAGAAGCTGTGAGCAGATGCTATAGGCAGGAATATGAAATATGATACAAGTTCACGGTGATCTGTTCCTAGAATACCACCCTCTTTGTAGCAGTCAGCTGAAGATTTCTTATCAACAGCTGATAAAGCTGTCATGTATCGGATTTGGCTAGCTCCTCTTTGGCTACCTCTTAGCTCACGCAAATACAAAAGCCACAGAGGCTTATTAATATTAGAGATTAATATTGGATCATGATTCTGTGATTAATATTAGCAATACAGTATGGGAGGCATGCAGATAGGACTCTGAACTCTGCTGACTTCCTCATGTACTAAATATTCAGTAAGGTTTTGGTAAATTAATTGAGTCATATTGAGAAAATAATTTCAAGCAGTGATATCCAACCCATGTTCTGAAGCATTCAGGAAGGTTTTCTGAACTGCCTTGAAGTCTGTAATTTTCAAATTGTGTAAATATTTTCGACTGAAATTTGATAAAGGCTGTCAGTCCCTCACTTAAAGAAAATACTTCATAAAGCTACTTTTCTTCGGAATTCAGATTCTCTTTAAAAGAAACTTTAGTGGTGTGGACATCAGTTCCCTATGGAAGATTTGACAGTCTCAGCATAAGTGTGTGAAGGTATTGGAGTGGAATAAATAGTTAAAACTAGCCCATGTAGTCAAGTTAAAAATATATTATATTTCAGTATTTATCTAAATTATCACAAATCTATAGGGCCAAGGCAGTTCTTGATGCAGAAGAAAGGCTTTTCACCTTAGATCAGTGACTGCTTTTTATGTGTTGTTAATATTGTGTTACGCTGTACTCCAACTTAGTGCTGAAAATATGGCCTTACTCTCCTCGCTTCTCTATAATGCTATTTAAAGTTTTAAGCTTCAGTTAATTATGAACTGCGAAAAGATTGCTAAAATTATACTTTTGCAGAATTTACTTCCAATGTACATTTTTTTAGCTGTTCCACATAAAATTGCAAATTGATGAAGATGATGAAATAACAATCTGCTTATGAGAGGAATTTCTTATGCTCAGATTGAACAGTTCACATCTGGGAGAGAAGTTATGTTACTTCTCAGAAATGTGTTGAAATAAAGGTAAAAACAGACATGCACGAGTGCTTCCAGACAGTCTTCAGGTCTGGATGGAACGACAATTAGCTTAATATAACCTTGTTTCCAAATTTCTCCCTTTGATAATACAAATCGTCTCAAGTTGAAAGAAATTACAGAGGTTACTGGCTTCCTGCTCTTATGCCAAGGATGGTCTAAATGATTTACAGAGATAGCTGATGTTTACAGTACTTGAAACTGTTGTGCTTTATATTTGTTCTTGCCTTACATGATTATTCACACATGTTATCTAGAAATCAATCTCAACCTCATTTAAACCAATGAGTTAGATAATTTATCTTGCAGAAGTTCATTTTGTTTTCTGTGTGAATTAATCCTCTTATATTATTATTTTGCAGTTATATAAAAATACGTGGACAGAGATCCTTCAAGGCAGCAAAGTTATGAGCAGACCTTCATGGTGGGCAGAATTTTGTATGAACAAACCTGTTATAGGCAGGCTGAGGTCAAGACTGTAAACCAGACAACTTGTAAGAGGATGGATGGGCCTGAGATGGATCCGGTGTTTCAAACAGCAGGAAGAAATGAGACCATATGTCAAGCACTGAAAATTAAAGAGTTTTTCATATATAAGTGCCAAGTTTTAAAATAACTTTGAAATCAAAAGTCCAGCTTGGTCTTAGGGACTGTTAACATAATAATGACAGGAGCAGAAGCAGCACATCTGTGGACTATTCATATTTACTCAATTAAATGCAAAAAACATGAAGATACATTATGATCACTGCTTTGCAAAGTTTCTATGAAACAAATATTCCAATCAGTCTCTTGACTTTACTGTCATATTACAGAAGTTAAATGATTAAAAAACATTTCCCACCAGGGATTATGAATAAGATGATTAAAAACAAACAAAATAAAAGAAAATGCAAAGAAAAAAGACATCAAGAACACCAACAGCGTTAAACCTGTATTAAGGGATGGGAATCATTTCCAGCAACCCCTTTGAAGTCTGTGAGGCTATTCTGATTTACTTCATATGCCACTGTGTTAAACTACTTGATCTCTTTTTCAATGCAGGAGAGGATTGGGATTTAGATATTATATATTTAAGTTGTGTATAATTCTGTAGATAAAATTTATCGAAAAACACCCCACGTTTCCACTCTTTTTCTTAAAAAAACCCAACACAGTATGGTAGTGCAAACTTTTAAGTCTTATATATGTTCTTGTTTGGTTGTAACATTTTCAGTGCTGCAAAACCAGTGTCAAGTGTGGGATACATTGACACACACGGAATCTGCATCTATATTTTAGGTCAGAATGTATTCAAATTAATTATTATAAATGTTGTCTTATAAGAACACACAACAGTAGTAGGCTTTAAACATATTAAGATATTTCTCTTTCAGCTCCATTAACTACCAAATATTTTTATTTCCAGAAATGGAAGAGAGACTTTGAAAAATTAAGCTTTGAAAATTCAGAATATTTTATGTTTTAGATATGCTGTGATAATCAAATTAATTTTTTTCCTGTATTGTATCTTTGAACTGAAATACTGGTAAGATCAAATTCCTGTTTCCCTTAGTGTTGTGAGCAATGGTATCAATCCAAAGAGATTATTTTATAATATATTAAAATCTACTATTTTTAAGGACTAATCAGGGATTAATTATGGTTTGTGCTATTAAATAAACATTATTTCAATACTTGAGTGTTGAATTCTACTTGAGTAGAATCAGACTCTTGTCCTTGTGGGGTTTGTAATTTCATTGTTGTTGCAGTGTCAATATATGAAAGTTGGTGAGTCTTTACAGGCTGCCAACGTGTGACCAAGTAGTTCTGTAGCAGCTTCCTTGGTTCGGTCTAAATCTGACATCGCTCAGGAAACATTCCATGGCTGGAGAATGTATTGAAAGCCCAGTGTTAAAAAGGTTTCTCAGAGTACCTCAAGGTACATTTATCTACTGAACGGATTTATTTTATTTTTTTTTTAGATTTTTGTTTGTATTTTTAAGAGCAGTTTGTCAAAGAATCTGAGTACTCCAAGTGCATAATAGTGCAAGTACAAAGTAGAACAGGCCAGATGGAAGCTTTATTAACTGATCATCGTGAGGGAACATTCAGAGAGCGTCTCTCACTCGGCTCCACTGTTCTCGGTCAACTGATTGCAGACACCCAACCTTTTCAGAGAGAAAGAGGGGGAGGGAAGGAAAGAAAGAGGGAGGGAAGGAAGGGGGATGGAGGGGAGAGGGGGAGGTGAAGGAAGGAAGACAGGCAGGCAGACAAGCCCGGACTCCATAGCCACACAATTCTAAGGAATCAAACATTAAAAAACGACAATATGAAGAGATGGCTCTTGGTGCAGCCTGTGTTAGTGGCAGACTCCATGTTACCTTAGCTCAGAAGTGGGAAGTTGGAAACAATCCCAGACAATTAGCGTTTACTTGGAAGCAATGTTCTTCTTAGCCAGACCTCTCAATAATTTTACCACCAGAAGTTCATAGTCAAGTAAAGATGATCACTCTCAACACACTTCAGCAAAAAAACCCTAAGCAAACAAACAAAAAACCCCAAATGCTGAAACTGTTGTTCATAGTCCCATTGGAAAAACTATCTTGTTAATCTTTACCTGTTGTTTTTTTCTCTGAACTTCAATTCAGTTGCCAGATATTGTCAGTGTTGCCTGTGATTTTTCTGCCCCTGTTCTGTCTTTTTTTCTAACAAGGTACCATTATTCAGGATGTCTCAATTAGAAGCTCTCTGTCTAGGTATTGAACTGTAGGAAACAGTCAAAATTTTAGCCTTCTTTTTCTTTGCTAAAAAAAAAACCAGTATAAAGTATTTATTTCTGGTTTTGTTAATTTTAATAATGTCCAATAGGGGGCATCATCCCGTGGAAAAGGAAAAAAAAAAAAAAAAGATCAATTCAGCTCAATAGCTATCAGACAGCTTAATACCTATCAGGAGGGAGTCCAGCAAGTATCTCCTCTTTGCGTTTGTGCAGACACAGAAGAAGGAGGCAGAGCACGTTGTGCCCAGTATCCAACGTGAACACCAGGACCTCTGACAGTGAAAGGGACACGTGAGGAACGGGTGCCCTGCTGCATAAAATGCAAAGACCTGTAGCATTGATCTGTCACGCCACATTGTGTACTGCCAACTGATCGGCAGCAGTATTGCACCGTGTGTGATTTCACCATCACCTCTGAGCTCTTCCTAAGTGTTACGGTCTTTTCTTCCTCCTCCCTCACAGCCGAGAAGAGCTCTGTATAAATCTTGCATATAAACTATAGCTCCATTTACAAGGCCTTTGTAGCCAAGAGAAAAAACAAAGGTGTTTGGCATGTAACTTAAGCCACCTTCATCTAAAAAAAAACCAAACAAACAACCCTGAAAAAATCATCTTTGTCAGAGGAGAACAGAGCTAAGACCTGGGGAGCCCCAAAAATACCCATCAAATATGTGACAGGGTAAACAGACACATCTGTAGAAATATATCCCTAAGCTGTTCCTGCTTATCTCATTTATTATGACTATTTAGTCAACATCCAAACTCCCTGATAAAAGCTAAGCCCTTTTGTTCTGATAAGGACTGCACAGACTGTCAGGGAAGTGTGCTGTTTGGTCTGAAAAGCTCCTTCTGTCGACTCGAGCAAGCAGTGCACAGAGTGCATCAGCAGGAGGATGACTGCGGGCAGGCAAAATGGGATACTCAGTGAAATGTCACAATTATGGACCCTAATGTGAACTGTCACACAGCTTGCACTAACCTTAGAGCTTCGTGGGATCCTTGGCTACACAGACAGTTAATGGCAGGCGACCTGAGCCCCCGAAAGCTGTAAAAGCGAAGCAGGGGTGCCGTGAGGCCTTGGGGATTTGCTCTTTATAACACGACACATCACTGTACCCGCAGCCGTGGAGGGTGGCGGCTGCTCAGCCAGGCTGGCGCAGTGCAGGTGTTGAGCAGCTGTTGGGCTTTATGTGCTGCCGGCAAAGGCCATCCCCGTCTCCTCTCACACCAAATACAAAGCCACAACGCAGCAAAGGCAGGTTCATTCTATGGGCCAGAGCCACTCTGCACTCAATATTATCAAAACTCTAGTAGGAATATCTGGATTCTTTAATCACTTATGACTATGAATTTCTGAGCTGCATGTTAAACCAGAGCTGTGTAATCAGATGGCCAAAAATGTCCTTTTCCTCTGAAGTCAACAATAAGCCAAAGGTTTTAGAGGTCTCCTACATCCAGCTTCTCAGAGCAGCAGAAATTGTACGTGTGAACTTGCAGAGCTGCAGCATGGAGTGAAAAAGATAAAATGTAATTTGGCATCCAATTATCTAATAAATCATGGGGCAATAATTCAGCAGTTACCACAAGATGTCATTACTATATGCAGTTTATTCCTCTTTACAAGACATTAAATAAAAGAGGCCTCTGACAGAACAGAAAAATCATTTCCTTTACAGTTCAAATCGCAAATGAAGTTATATGTGTCATATTAACTCGGTTGGGGAACAGGGTCAAAGGCTTTCAGTGAGCTTTGGTCCAAAACAATTTGGCCATGAGAATCTGTCCTTTCAAGCAGCCACATGAAGGCAGTTAAATCTGTCACCAGAAAACTGAATCCAAGCAAGCCTAGAAGAACCCTGACTTACTGCTTCCCCTGCGCCCATGACTTGCCTCGTGGATAGTGTCATTCTCCTTCTTTCTGACTTTGCCAAGTCTAAAATACCTGCCAAGGGTATTTCAAACCAGATTCCTTTGTGATGTGATATTTCTATTGATGTGACTCAGTTAAAGCAAAAAATCTCTTTATCAGAAAAAAAAACCCAACAAACTGTTCGTGTGCATTAGGACACTGAAGGCACACACCTCCTTTGCTGATGTGGCAAGATAAAGACATGAATATTTCACATCCGCTTTTGTAGGAGGGATGTCAGGAGAACAGCTCAGGGAGCCAAAGGGAAGCCCCATCTTTAGAGCTGCAGTTCTGTGGATACAGCTTTCCCAGAGGTGCTTGTTTTGTGCAGAGCTAAGCAGCCTTGTACGCTGCCATTTCTGTCTGAAAGGCTCTTTCCCACTGTGATAAATGATATATCCTGCTTTCTGCAGGGTAGCAAGTTTCTCTTCTGTTTGCCTTTATACATGTATTTTCTTTACTGACTTAATGTGTTTTGAAACCTGACTGGTGATTTAACACTAGCACATGATATCAGCATGACCACTCTCTCAGATGCAACCATATGGACATCACGGAGGCCTGCGTTCCCTCTCGTAGCACTGTACCTCCACGGGCCTCATCAGTGTTTTGTTATTCCCAATTCTCATTAGCCTGGGATCAGAGTAAGGCTCCAGAATGTTTTAGCTCGGTTCACTGGCCTAAGGGGGAGCTCACGGCATGAGACATCCATGTGATGGTATAATCTGAGACAGACAGATCCAGCCAAGGGAAGGTCAGCTGTGATCACCACAGGCTGCCCACAACACTGTCAGTGGGAACAGAAGCACAGA